ATTCGTATTCCAGTTGACTCAGTATAGACATTTTCGTTCCATAAAAAATCACCAAAGGTCCAAAGCCCAAAACACCAACTTGCTTTTTGTTCATCGGCTACTATGACCGTACTGGAGGCGTTTCCAACCACTTGGCACGAAAACCTGTTCCCTTGCAATCGCTACAACATGCCGAACCCTAAAACCATAGAAGGAATCGAATGCTAAAACTTGTGAAGTCATATAAACCAGAAGACACGACAACATCTGTCAATGCACAATTAACCATTTAGTTTTTTCTTCCATTGGATTACCAACCTTCCCGGAACAGATCACGCAAGAAGTATTCCTTGAAGGTACCTGGCAGAGCATGTTATCACCGAGGATGAAGAATCCTGTACCCGCACACCATTTGCATTCGACATGACCCTTTGCACTGCACGATGAACATCCAACGGGTCTTGGCTGCTGCGGCCGACAAAGAAAATCATTGAATCATAACGCAGGAACAGGATCGATCTACTGATCATTAGAGACGGCACACAAGTTCAATATTAACCCTTGACAAAACTGCAAATGCTAGATGAAAGGCTTCAGAATCTTATCCTTAGATTCAAGTTCGTAATCACATACAAATATCGCAGGCAGCTCTAATTGTACACAACTATAAGAACAAATTGATACACAAGATGCATAGTTGCATGAGACAAAGAATCCACAAACATAAAACACGAAGTAAGCTGGTATTTAAACCTGAAAGCATACGAGACAATTAGGGATTTGTGAAAAAAATATTAAACACGAAGAATCAGTTCTTATGATTACTCAGATTTAACAATATCAGAGATATTAACACATCAAATTAACAACAAGTAGCAGCAAGAAACTCAACTACCAGATAAAAGAATTTCAAATATGAGGTATAAGATGAGGAACCTGGGAGATAATCCAAGCTTGTTCCATACGCTTGGCGAAATTGGAAGAACTCTCATCGGAATCCACCACCGCCGAAGCCCTGACGGTAGCCGGAAACCGGCGGATCGTGGCTAAACTCCGACCGACCGCTACGAAACCTAACTTCGTTCTCCTCGGAGAAATCCAAGGGTTAACTATCAATTTGGCGACAATTTGTGACTCGCAAAATAAGCAAACCGCCATTTCTTCTTCCTTTTTCCTGGCCCAGATGTTGAATTCAGAGCTCAAATTTGATTTTGCATTTCGTTTATTTGTTGCGACCAAATTGGAAAAAAAGTGGAGAAGACAAAAATCCCGGAAGAGAGCAATTGGTTTCTTTCTTGGACCCTGGGCCCACTTACCAGTCGGTTACTGATAACCAGCCATCTCCAATATTTATGCAAATTTCATCTATCCCTTCTCAAATGAAGAAATCAAATTCCAATAGTACTTCATTTTTCC